GAGGCGTGGGGCGTCCCAAAGAGACCGCGTTGCGCGAGTTGGCTTTGGACGAGTATTTATCTGCCGCCTGGGGACCTCGCCTCTCCCCGCGCTCGCACCACATGTAGGCAAGCAGCTCGCTTCAAGAAAGTGGGGACGGGTCGGAGGAAGCGGATTGTAATCCACCAAAACTCACGCTGAAAGAAATTCCTCGTCTCGGAAGTGTCACTGTTCTTTTGCTTTCATTTTTTTCTGGTTGTCTTGCACATGGCTGTGAGATTTGCAGATATAATATTTTGCAGACCACCAGAAGGACAAATAAGCGGGGGCTGGACCAAATTCCTAAATTCTCGCTAGAAGCTTATGGTACTGTGAACATACATACACCAAGAAGGCAAGTTTCACTCGAACAGACAATAATACCAGAAAAACTGGAAGGGAGAAGGAAAAGAGGAGAACTTAACATGAGATGGACTGACTTATTCAGGGCAATCGTCGTCGTTTAGTCATTTAGTCGTGTCCGACTCTTCGTGACCCCATGGACCAGAGCACGCCAGGCCCTCCTGCCTTCCACTGCCTCCTGGAGTTGGGTCAAATTCATGTTGGTCCCTTCAATGACACTGTCCAACCATCTCATCCTCTGTCGTCCCCTTCTCCTCTTGTCTTCACAAAACAGGCCAATAATACCCTTTAATTTACAAGAGTTGCATTTAGTCGTGTCCGACTCTTCGTGACCCCATGGACCAGAGCACGCCAGGCCCTCCTGCCTTCCACTGCCTCCTGGAGTTGGGTCAAATTCATGTTGGTCCCTTCAATGACACTGTCCAACCATCTCATCCTCTGTCGTCCCCTTCTCCTCTTGTCTTCACAAAACAGGCCAATAATACCCTTTAATTTACAAGAGTTGAACAGAACTGAGGGCAATAATACCCTTTAATTTACAAGAGTTGAACAGAACTGTTTGCACCTTTTAGAAATCAGTAATTCAAAGGGATCACCAAAAGTTGGAAATAATCACAGCATATGACAACTACACAACAGAACAGCTTTTGATCCTGTCCTCTCTCTCTCTCTCTTCCTGGGCCCACTCAGACTCAAAAAATTAGACTTTTTGAATAAATGGGGCTTACAGAAGTGTTGACTCCCCAATGCCCACGAATTCAATGGGCCTACTCTAGTTGTGACTCAAAGGGATCACCAAAAGTTGGAAATAATCACAGCATATGACAACTACACAACAGAACAGCTTTTGATCCTGTCCTCTCTCTCTCTCTCTTCCTGGGCCCACTCAGACTCAAAAAATTAGACTTTTTGAATAAATGGGGCTTACAGAAGTGTTGACTCCCCAATGCCCACGAATTCAATGGGCCTACTCTAGTTGTGACTTTCTACACTAGAATGAGTCTTTTTGAATAAATGGGGCTTACAGAGGTGTTGACTCCCCAATGCCCACCAATTCAATGGGCCTACTCTAGTTTCTACACTAAACAAAAAGATTTCAGCCATTGTTTTATAATTATCCCTTGTCCTGTAAATCTATTGGCTTGGAACTATGTTATTCTAAAGTTTGTTTTTTTAAATCTGTAATTTAAAAAAAGTAAAGAGGTTTCCCTCGTGGCTTCATTTCTCATTTTGCATGCATAAAATCATGTTGTTTCAGCTATATGTGATGATGGTGGGGTGCACATGTAGTGTATATGTGCAAACATTATCCCCAAGGGTCACAATTTAGTAGCTATCACAAAACTTGCAACCTTATGACACAGCATAACTTATTGCCGTATTTATAATTAAAAAATAAGCACAATTAGATTTGATGCCACTTACTTGTATTCCCATATGTGAAATAGTTAGTATACCTCAGTTCAATCAAGCAATCCCAATGGAGACTGCAGAAAATAAATCAGAAGAAGACTGGGACTAGGAAGGACAGCAATGAAGGAATTAAAAAAGATCATCAAGTGTAAGGATGTATCACTGGAGATCAAGACCATCCACACCAAGGCCAACACCATATTTCTGATCTCCATGTATGAGTGTGAAAGCTGGACAGTTAAGAAAGCTGATGGGGGGGAATGTTTCATTTGAAACGTGGTGCTGGAGGAGAGCTTTGCAGATACCCTGGACAGCCAGAAAGACAAACAAGTGGTTCCTAGATCAAATCAAGCCTGAACTACCTGAAAGTAGAAAAATGTTGAAGCTAAAGCTGTCCTACTTTGGCCCCATCATGAAAAGGCAGGATTCTCTGGAAAAGACAATAATGCAGGGAAAGGTAGAAGGCAGCAGGAAAAGAGGAAGACCAAATATGAGATGGATTTCCATAAAGACTTGAGTTTACAAGACTTGAGCAGGACTGTTGTGGAGAAGACATTTTGGGGACATCTCATTCATAGGGTCACACATAACACCAAGAACAGTCTCCACATAAGTGTCGCTAGGACTGCAGCCTTACTTAATGATTTATTTAACAATAGGATATAATGTTTGAATGGGTTTGTATATTATTTTTACATGAGACACATTGTAGAAGCCACTGGCAATGGTGCGGCTAAAAAATATTGTAAATAAATAAATAAATAGAGTCAGGCATGTTCAAGCTCAACCTGCATTTGGACTCGACAGAATGGAAGCCTCTGTAGTATTATTCCCAACCACTATCAGCCTATTCCCAACCCTGTCAATCTGGAGCAACTTTTCTAGGAAATGAATGTATAGAAGCAGAAATGTAACATAGAAGTGCTTGTAGCAGCACCGCTCAAAAGTCAGTGTAATAATTCAAGTGTCTTTGCTGAGAGATCAAAATAGATGGCCCAACCACATTTGTTGCTGGGTTTGGTCAGCAAATAGCTTGGGTTGTCCTGGTTTGCATGGTGCTCATTTCTAACTTCACTAAGTTTTAAGAATGAAGATGTTACTGAGAATGTCAATATTATAGGCTCATTTCTTCAGTTTAGTAAGTATTTGCATAATTTTTTAATGCCAATGTTTTTAATGAAAGTTTTAAAATGCTTAGATAACCTTCTTAATTATTATCATACATTTAATTGTTTTTAACTTTGTAACTTATTTTGTTTTTAGTCTAACAGGTTTTAATAATTGTGAGCTGCCTTGGGCTCCCTCACTGGGGGAAAGGCAGCCCAGAAATGAAACAAACAAATAATTCAAGTGCCATAAGTAGACACACAGAGAAGGCACAGCCTGTGAAAATGACAATAGTACTTGTGTAACTACAGAATACCGTAAAATGACTAGACTTTCTGATTGGTGAAGTAAGAAAGAAAGAAAGAATGGAAGCACATTTTTAAAGAAATAAGGGATTAAATATTCAAATGTCCCCGTCAATTGCTTTATTGAACATGATTAAGAAAGATCAATTGTTGAAAGAAAATAAGGATTTAATTGTAATAATGGTTACAGCAGCAAGGTTAATGTTTGCAAGAAATTGGAAGGGAAATGATAACAATTAATTTAGAGGAATAGTATAGAGAATTTTGGGAGATGGCAATTAATGATAAATTGACATGTGATATGAAAATAAGAAGAGGTCTATCAAAAAGTAATGATTTTAAGAAATCATGGAGTGTATTCCTGGAATATGTATTTCGGAGAGGGAAGGGGTGTATGCCAAGGAAAGAACAATGCGTTTTTGGAGAGAAAATGGATTGAATGAATTTTTAAAATATTGTTAATGCTAGCCCTGAGGGTGAAGATGGCACTGGTGTGTTATGTAATTCTATTTTAATGTTGTGTTAGGTTTATGTTGTTTAGGTTTGATGTTTGTTTAATAATAATTTTAAAAAAGAAATATTTTGCATGTATATTCAGAAGCAAATATAGCTTGCTCTCAGATACATATGTGTAGGATTTGTTGTTGCTGTTGTGCTCCGTCAAGTCAGAATTGACTTTTAGTGACCCTGATAGGATTTTCAAGACAAGTGAATTATTTTCAAGGCCAGTTCCACATCCCCAGTGAGTTTCCATGCCGGAGCTGAAGGATCCAAACCAGGTCTCCGAATTCCTAGTCCATCACTTTGTCTTCCACACCATGTTGGGTAATCTTTGTAGAGATTAAAAATGTTCTGTGATAACAGAATGCGTTACATTGGTTTTCATGCTATTCGGGATTCCTTTGCAGCTGCCTGAGGTTTCCGTAGACCTGTGGCAAAAATTATCTGTCTCGTGATTTGCTGGATGCTACCTAAAAATAGAGATGTTTGTTTCCTCAACAGTATATAATTAAACGAACTGTGCTCTA